TACATATTTGTTTGTTTGTTTGTTTGCTTGCTTGCTTGTACGTAACCCGTACATAACGAAAGATATATGAAGTGTGAAAGGTATAGCCTTTTAAAACGTAGATATTTCAGAAATTAACTTTTCTCAAAAACTTCAGGATTAACTTTTTTCAAGATATGAAGTCAATGAAATTTTCCAAGTGTTTAATATGTCTAAAAGCAAAAGCTGTATATGTAAAAGTAAAAACTGTGTATGGTATACAAAATATCTTTCCACTTAAAGTATCCTGCAAATATATCTTTCATATTTTAATAATTACTTAATATTTACAATTAGAGACATAATATATATTATTATTTTTGTTAATAAATGCTAAAATGTCCAGATGAGAAATTGAGAAAAAACTTAATATTGGGATCTAAAAACTTGGTACACCCGGATTATATTAAGAAAGAGAATGAGAGAGAGCAAGAGAGAGAGAGAGAGAGTGATATATACAGAGTGTTGAAAAAAAAGGGTCACATATTTTGATAGCAGGTAGTATTGATCAAAACAAGAAGAAAAGTTCTAATTAACATGGGTCCTAAGACTAATTTCTTCTAAGATAGAAGCTATTTTGTTATTTGAGCTCTTTGTCATTTTCTTATTAGTCGTGTCATCTTTAGAATGTAATGAACAAAGGAGTAGGGGAGAGTGGGGTACAATGGGGATATCTTTTTTCTAGATGCCTTAAAAAATAAAAAATTAACAAAGAGAGATAAAGAAACAATTTTTATTTTAATATGAAATGTAATCATTTATTTTCCATAAAAAAAACTGAAGTAAAGAAACTGAATGTATGATAACAAAATAAAAACTCTTTTTTTTACAAAAAACAAAAAATTTTAATGCTGACTCAGTATTAGAGGAGGTGCTCTATGTGATTGCCATTCACTCTCACCCATGTTTCAGCCCTACGTCTCAGAGAATCACGCACTCTTTCAAATCACGCATTCTAACTTCATTTCTCTCTCCTGATATTTACGTTTAGTTCGCAATAGATACTACAAGTCAAACGACATTGCGTAGGCCTTAACGAATGTGAGCAGCCCTAGTAAACAAAAGAGTGTTTAATTTTTTATGTTTTAAGGCATCTAGATAAAAGATATCCCCAATGTGCCCCACTCTCCCCTACTCCTTTGTTCATTCTAAAGATGACACGACTAATAAGAAAATGACAAAGAGCTCAAATAACAAAATAGCTTGTATCTTAGAAGATATTAGTCTTAGGACCCATGTTAATTAGACCTTTTCTTCTTGTTTTGATCAATACTACCTGCTATCAAAATATGTGACCCTTTTTTTTTCAACACCCTGTATATATATATATATATATATATATATATATAGAGAGAGAGAGAGAGAGAGAGAGAGAGAAAGAGACAGAGAGAGAGAGATCGTACGTACCGTATTACAATTTTTTAAATGTATTTAATGAATTTAGATTTTTTTTATTGTTTTTAAATCAGTTTACTTTAACATAACCGTTTGTTACATTTTTAACTCTTTGAATATTGTGGGCAATTATATGCGCTCGACGTAAAAATCTCGTTACAAACTGCGCGTGTCTGCACGTTTACTTTCTCCATTTGCATTTTTGCATGCTTAATTTATTTTTTCTTTAATTTTTTCCCGCGGAGGATAATAAAATCGCGCGTCGTTTCTCTTATACATTGTATAATGAATGGATAAAAATAACATTTGCGAGTTATTATAACAGCTAATAATACGACACACGGGCGCGCTGAAGTTTTATGCATATTAACATTGAGACTTTATGCTTTACATTGGTTTATTTCTGTCTTCGACGACCGACAACTATCTCGCGCTTCGCCGTTGATTTTGTTAAAGGCTTCCGGTCATAACGAGCTCGAACTCATTAATGGACGAAATGGTAACAGTTGAACTTTTCCGCGACATTGTCCTATTATCATCTCAAAGTATCATGTACGTAACCCTGAATGCAGAACGTCGCGCGGCAAATTAAATCGCTGACGGCGAAGTTAATGGGTTAATGAGGGAGTTCTTTTCAAGCTACACGCTCTTTTTGCCTGAACGATCACTTTGCCGGGATGCCGAGTGCATTTATGAAATGCCAGGGGCCAAATAAAAACCCGTGCCTCCCGTTTCGCTCTACGCCAATCCGCGCGATAAGATGAAAATTGATATTTAATTAAGACATCAATTCGCATACATAATGAACTGAGCGTGGCGCAGCAATTTTCCCGTTATGTAGATACGCGCGCATTAATTGTGCATTATAACGGCGCGCGTTATTTTATAAAAACCTTTCACGAACGTTGCATATTTACGCGGGATGGATTGCACTGGGTGTAATTGCGCGTATGAAATTACCAACGCGCGATTATAAATGTACAACGAGCGAGAAGCGAGGTAAAGTAAGAATGGCGTTTTTCTCGTGGAAACCATGGTGCGATATATTACTGGCACTGATTCGAACAAAGGACCCAGCGAATGAAACTAAAAGCGACAGGCTAAAAAGCGAGACTTTGCGTAAGCAACATTTGTATAATTCTTATATCAGCAAGTGCACACACAGAGCCGAACCGTTTTCTATCGCGCGAGGATTAAGGTGCGTCAAACGCTCGGAATGTAAATAAAGAAGTAGTTGTTCAACAGATATTGTGTAAATCTGTCGGTGCCAAAGTTACGTTCTTGTGCAATTTTCTATTAATCGTGCAGTCAAGTTGAATATCGTACGATATTCAACTTGATATCGCACCGAATTAGGGTCGCGATAATACGAACACATTGACGAGAGTAGAGTGGGCAAGACACACACAGCTGCGTCGGAAGTAATATTTTACGTGTTCTGTGTACGCAAAGTATTACAGTGCGCAATAATTGTCTCTGACAATTAAAGTGTTTACGACGTATTCATTCTTGACTTAGATGCGCGTTTACGACAAGCTGAATGAAATATCTATTTTTTTCACGTCCACATGTATACTTTTCGTTGCATACGAATTTGCATACGTGCTCTTTCATGTATTTGCGTACCGGTGGCGAGTAATTGACCAATTTATAATCGCCAAATTGTTTTCTAAAGACTCCATAGAGCGTGTCTTAACTCCATACATGTCTTAATTAAATGCGTATTTCTCATGTTCCCCCCATGAGTACTTTATATTTATACTAATATACTTATACTTTTGTACTTATGTATTTTTGTACTTTTGAATATTTATACTTTAATACTTTTTTTTGTTATGTCAGGTATTCTGGTGCACGTTTTAATGTATTTTCTACCAGTTCATTTTTTAATTTCAATATGCGTATTTACAACAAAACAAATGAAAAGTCCATTTTTACATGTCTATATATATATACTTTTTGTTGCACACGAATTTGGGCTGTTTTTTTATGTACTTGGCATATTTTTCTACTTTTTCTCATTATTTTAGACGTGTCTATTCAATTTCAAGACGCGCACTTACGACAAGATAAATGTCTCTTCACGGAAGTGCTCCTCGTCGAAATTCGAGATATTCATATACGTGAATATGATGTCACGTTTATATGAAATTATTTATATTAATGTTCGCAAATATTGTATGGAGGGAACGTGAGAAATACGCATTTAATTAAGACACGTGTTGCTCTATGGAGTCTGTAGAAAACAATTTGGCGATTATAAATTGGTCAATCACTCGCCGCCGGTGCGCAAATTTAATTGAAATATATGCACATTTTAATGGTATACAGCTTCAACAAATTTGCATTGGAGTTTGCTTTAATTTGCATTTGGGATGTGTTTCGTTGAGACAACTCGCACTTCGATTTGTACGTCACACGAACGGATTAGTTTGATTGACTTTTAACAGTATTAATCAGTCGATCGTTGAAATTCATCCTTCACGCATCGTTTGAGCAATCGGTGTTATCCGATTATCGCTCCTAAATAATTTGCATAAAGAGCGATCTCGCGATTTAAATTTAATTTTTACAGACCGGTCACAACACGCAATTATTTCACATTTCCTTGCTTTCAGCTTCAAGAAATGTACTTAAAGATTGACGAGACGACTAATGTTCTCCACAATGGTGAGTCGAGTAATAGCGGAATATAAAATGTATCACAATTCCTTGAAACAGTAAATATCACCGAAAGAAATAAAAATTGCTATATTAGGTAAACGAATGATGAGCAAAAATTTTACTAATTTTCTTTAATTTAACAAATATTGAATGTATACACTCAACAAATGCATACGCAAACTTTAATACTATATTATTTTGTAATAATAATAATCCGCAATAATCAGCATATTTTTAAGTAATAATCACTACAATCGTTACTATAGATATCTGAAAAATAAGAGATTTTTACGAATTTTTTTTTAAGGAGATCAATATTATAGGGTCTTAAGCGTACTATATATCATTGCTTTAATTATGAAAAAATTATTTAGAAAACTACGGAATTTTGTCTATATTTTTTGTGATAATCACAGTGCCATTGGAACCAGTGGATAACATTATAGCTTGTGTAATAATTTGAAACAAGTAGAACAAAAGAATTTGAAAACTGTATTAAATTTGTTAGAGGGTAAAATAAGATTCTTTGGAAAATTTTCAAAATTAATACTTTTCCCGGAACATTAAATAAAAAAGAAAAACACAAGAGAACTGACTTGTAATTTCAAAGTGTCGGCATTTTGTTAACTTTTGACTTTTTGCAAGACAAACATAGTTTCGCGTTTCATATTTTATGGAGTCGATCGTATAGCTTTTATTCTCCTTTTCGACAAAAAGAAATAATTTATGTAAAAAAATGTGAACCAATATGTGATTTAAGTACGATGTTTATCTACTGCGGCTGAAAAAAAATGTTATTTAAATTGTGAGATAAAAGTTACATCTCTTTTTCTCGACTGTTGATGCATCGTGCAAATATAGAGCCCACAGGTGTTGTTAACAGTTGAGTGGATAAAATACATAATATACGGCTTCAACGTAATACAGCTCAAACAAAGTCAGCTGTTATGTAAGACCAAGTACCGCTTATAAAAGGGAACGCTGACGCTGTTGGCTATGCTCAGTTTGAAATTCATTCTGGAATTGATTTCTGAACTACGACGTTTAAGATGATGAAGTTGGCTATTCTGTTAGTCGTCGGCGTTATCGCCAAACGTGAGTAAACAAAATTTGTTAATCAACAATTAGCATATGTTTCAATGACATACTGTACGAAATATTAAATACGAGAAAAGAAATTATTTATAAGAAATAATTTGAAATATGCAAATTTTATCACACACACATACATATTTTTAAAAAAATTTTCCTATAATTTTACATATTAATTTTTGTATGTGGGTGTATAAATTTATGTAAATGTAACAAAAAAGAGATACTTACAAAGAAGGATATATACATATCTTTTAGCTAATATGTATGTGTATCCACGGATTGAAATATCTCCAGACAGATGAATGATTAGGAACTTAATTATTATCCTCAGAGGCATACGGGGATGAGCCTGAAGCTATAGTGGGTGGCAGCATGGCAACGCGCGGGCAATTTCCACATCAAATCTCTCTTCAGTACTACGGTTCGCATATTTGCGGGGGCACAATTATTGGCTCCAGAAAAATCCTCTGCGCTGCTCACTGTGTTGAAGATATGAGCCTGAGTTCCTTGGTACATAGGTAACAGTTACCACCAGAAACGTCTCATTCGATTATTGAATGTTTTTCTTAAATAGATATTATAAATATGTTAATATAAGAAAGCCAGCGACATTATAGTTTTTTTCTCCAGAACTTCATATCCTTATCTTCTAATTCATTTTGACTTTCTTATTTAACTTATTAAAATTATTTGTTATGCAGACAGTTGTAAGCGGTGGTATCCGTAGCTCCGGCGACGGGGAAAGGCACGAGATCGAGAGTATAAAGGTACATCCAGGTTATACTGGTCGACAGTCGGACGGCTGGAAGGACGATATCTGTGTGATCACTGTAAGTTTAGTTCCTAATCCTCGTTAAGTACGTAATGTAATAAGATGTAATGAGTGCGCAACAATATGAGATATTTTGTTTATAGCTGAAAAAACCGATTGCAATGAGCAGCGTCCAAAATGTAATTCCTCTAGCCAGTAGGGATTATGCTACTGGAAGTTATCGCGGTACAATTAGCGGATTCGGAAAGACTAGTGTAAATTCGGGTGTTTCGCCTTACCTTCTATACGCCAATGTGAACATTTTGAGTACCAAGGACTGCTTAGCTGCACACCCGAGAAACAGTTGGGGTGGCGCATACACCACTGAAAAACAAATATGCATTTTGGAAAAGCGTGGAATAGGTGCTTGCCAAGTGAGTGTTTTACCTTATCTTATACTTGATATATTTGGAAAGGATTATGTACATATGAATGTGTCTTCCTCAAGAAATAGAAACGAATTCAACGAGTACTAATGGAAAATGTACAATTTTTTAGGGTGACAGTGGCGGTCCTCTCATTTGCAATGGTGAAGTTGTTGGTGTCACCTCTTGGGTCGCGCCCTGTGCTTTGGGTGTTCCTGATGTATACACTTGTGTCCTACCTTATTTGAGTTGGATTAAGGCAAATCTATAGAAGTATTGATCATTCGAATGACCACAGTCGACCGGCGATCTATATTCCAGGCATTACTTACAATTTTCAGTTACTGCGTGTGAAACGTAATATAATTTTGTATCATTCTTATGAAAGATACCAATGATGTAACATCAGTAACATCATTTCTATAAGAATGATATTAAAGTGTAATCTCGTTGAATGATATAAAAGAATCAATAAAAAATAATCGTATTATGCAAAATAAATTTTGTGCGTATTCTTTTTCCCGAACATTGAACATTTGGCCAATAAAACTAAACTTCTTTTCCCGTGCATAGCTGAAGAAAGACACAAATGTACATAATAAAGCACATTAAAATCGTGTTTGTGTAAGTATCAATAATATTAATAAATGAACGTTGAAATATCAAAGTATCAAATTGAGAAAAACTTAACATCGAGGATCAAAAACTCGGCATGCCCCAATGAATACACTGCGGCGCTTGATAATATATTTCTAATATAAGTCAGCTCAGCTGTCATGCAAGGTCAAGTGCAGCTTATAAAAGAGAATGCTGAACTGTTGGCTATATCCAGTTTGAAATTGTTTCTGGTCTCGATTCCTGAATTGCGACATTCAAGATAATGAAGTTAGCTATTCTATTGGTTGTCTGCGTTATCGCCAAACGTGAGTAAACAAAATTTGTTAATCAACAATTTATAAATAGTGTAATTAGGGTATGTTTGAATCACATATTGTATGAAATATTAAATGAAGGAGAAGAAATTATAGTAAGAGATAATTTGAAATATGAAAATTTTATCACGCATGTTTTTAAAACATATTTTCCTATAATTTTATATATTAATTCTTGTATGTGGATGTGTAAAATAATGAAAATGTAACAAAAAAGAGATACTTGCAAGGAAGGATATATAGATGTTTTTTAGCTAATATGTATGTGTGTATACACGGAGTGAAATATCTCCAGACAGATGAATGATTAGGAACTTAATTATTACCCTTAGAGGCATACGGGGATGAACCTGAAGCTATAGTGGGTGGCAGCGTGGCAACGCCCGGACAATTTCCACATCAAATCTCTCTTCAGTACTGGGGTTTGCATATTTGCGGGGGCAGTATTATTAGCCCCACACACATCATCACCGCCGCTCATTGTGTTAAAGATATGCAACAATCATCTTTGGTATGTAGGTAACAGTTACGACCAGAAACGTCTCATTCGATTATTGAATGTTTTTCTTAGATACATATTATAAACATGCTAGTAAAAGAAAGCCAGGGACATTATATTTTTTTCTGCAGAACTTGATATCCTTATCTTCTAATCAGGGACCCGGACCGAAATGAAATTTCGCTTCGGTTACGGTCCGAGGCTATATTTCAATTTCGGTTTCGGTTTCGATTCCGGTTCTTTCATTGAAAACGGTGATCGTAACCGTTTGGATTTCAGTTATCATTTTCGAATTTTTTCGGTTACGGCTAGAAGTATCTATCGTAAAATGTATAAAGCATAACAAAATTAATACAGGAAGTCCTTAGACCCTATGGACAGCCCTTAGACCCAACGAGAAAGAGAGAGTAGGTGATACGTTCGCGCTTGTCTAATGTCCGAGGCTGACTGAACCACCGCTCGCTCACGGACACGGTCGCGTGAGTGTGTGTGCATCCCCTCCCTGCTGCTCGCGTGCTGCTCGGGGCTCACAGTTGCTATCTAGTTTAAAGGTCCTATACTCTGCTAAAAGTGGATAAAACAGCGATATATAATATATTCTATCTTTCTTCCTTCCTTTTTTACCATCGGAATCTCACTTCATGTTTCCATTTTCTGCCATTTGGTCGATGAAGACTATGTCCATTACACTTCGGACCATTGTTAACAGGAGCATCTGATAGCCATGATCAAATAGTCAAAAGTGTCCGTAGTTGGAAAACGCTCAGACATAGTAAAAAGTCTGTTCTTTTTCGCTGCATTACGGATCTTGTACAATACGTTGAAGTGAGAAAATATATACTTGTATTACTTCAACTTATTGCATAAGTTCAATAGTGCAATGAAAACGAATAGGCCTAATAATAGACCGAGCGTGAGATGCAAAATCTGAAGATCAGGAAGAAAGAGATGGAAGATAAGGATGGAAGATAGATTAGGATAATCGTTAGAGAGGGAAAGCACGGCATCTGCTTTCTGTTCTTTCTTTTAATCTTTACTTCCAAATAGAGGACACACTAGGTCTATGTTTATGGATGAATACTCCATTGCACATATTAAAGGAACTATAAACCCATACAGCACAAAAAGGTTGCAGGAACATTGCATAGATATTACATGGAAACATTGTAACATTTCATATATGTTGCGAAACGTTGATGCAACGTTGCCGCATGCTTGCAACAATGTTGAAATGTCCGCCCTTAGAAACGTTGTTGTGAAACGTTGTAGCAACGTTACGGTGGAATATAATATAATGGTTGCACTGAGTAGATGAAGCAGCTTTCCACTGCGCTGTTAGCAGTTTTGCAATTGTTGTAAAAATTTCTGCTGAGAGACACTTTGCGGTTTTCTATCATGTTTATTAAGCAATCCGGCGTGTTAAAAGTATGTTAGAAGAAATAGCAACTGCTTAGTAAGCATGTTGGCGTAAACCACCGATATCGCTCAATAGAAAATCTTACAACAATTGCAAAGCTGCCTGCAGTTCATAATAAAGTTAAACTGCGTTTTTTTTTGTTAAATGAACCAGTACAACTGATATAATAGTGAACACAACATGTTGCTACAAACATGATAGCATATAATGCAGATTGTAACAAATAAATACTACGAGCATAAATAGGCAACCAAAAAAACATATGTATAATAAGTTTGTAATTGTTTTGTATTCAAAATGTAATTAAATCTTAAATAATAATAAAATAATAATTAATTAATAATTAAGTTTAGCTAAAAAAAACAGACCAATAAATAACGCGGCACGCAAATTCTATGAACGCTATAAAGATATAAGAAAATATAGACATAAATAAATACTTCAATTTCTGTGGTTAAGATACAAATACGCATATATCATACATGTATTATGCATAAATTATAGCATTATAGTTTTTAATTATTTATAATGTTTCTGCAATGTTGTTCTAACATTTCCGATAGAAAGTTACAATTCCATGTTTATGTTATGTTTATGTAATATTACGTTGAAATTTGAAATGACGTAACGTTCCTATAATGAAACTGCAAGCTTCTGTGCTGTATGGAAAATAAAGGTGTACTTCTCTGTTCCAAATTTCCAATGTAAAACATGGAGAAGCAACGGAAATGTCCGCGTTGCAAAATACATGTGGATTTGGGTTTCGAACACAATCTAATGAGCTGCTAATCGCGGCTTTTGGCAATGGATTTCCAAATTCCCCCAAATAAAATATTTCTATAAAAAGTAATAATGTTTAACCAACCCGAACCGAAAAATGGACCGAAAACTGAAAAAAATGTTTTCGGTCCGGTTAGGGTTCCGGTCCATCAGCCTGTACATTATTTCGGTACCGGTTCGGTTTCGGTCCGGTCCGGATTCCTGCTTCTAATTCATTTTGACTTTCCTATTTAACTCATCAAAATTATTTGTTACGCAGACAGTTGTAACTGGTAGTATCTCTTCGCGCCCCGGCTACGGCCAAAGTCACGAGATCCAGTGTATACAGGTACATCCAGGTCATACTGGTCTAAAGAGGGACGGCTGGAAGGATGATATCTGTGTGATAACTGTAAGTTTAGTTCCTAATTCTCGTTAAGTACGTAATATAATAAAATGTAATGAGTGCGCAACAATATGAGATATTTTGTTTATAGCTGAAAAAACCAATTACAATGAGCAACGTCCAAAATGTAATTCCTCTAGCCAGTAGGGATTATGCTATTGGAAGTTATCGCGGTACAATTAGCGGATTTGGAAAGACTAGTGTAAATTCGGGTGTTTCGCCTGACCTTCTATTCGCTAATGTGAACATTTTGAGTAGAAAAGCCTGCACAGATGCACACCCGAAAAACAGTTGGGGTGTCGCATTCACCAATGAAAATCATATTTGCATTTTGGAGGAGCCTGGAATAGGTGCTTGCAAAGTGAGTGTTTTACCTTATCTTATGCCTGATATATTTGGAAACGATTATATACATGAATGTGTCTTCTTCAAGAAATAGAAACGAATTCAACAAGTTAGAAATGGAAAATGTACAATTTTTTAGGGTGACAGTGGCGGTCCTCTCATTTGCAATGGTCAACTTGTTGGTGTTACTTCTTGGGTTGTGCCCTGTGCTTTGGGTGTTCCTGATGTATACACTGCTGTCTATCCTTATTTGAGTTGGATTAAGGAATGTCAACAGAGGTGCTGATCATTCGAATAATCACAGTCGACCGGCGATCTATATTCCAGGGATTATTTACAATTTTCAGTTACTGCGTGTAAAACGTAATATAATTTTGTATCATTCTTATGAAAGATATCAATGATGTCAGTAATATTTCTATAAGAATGATATTAAAGTGTAATCTCTTTGAATGATATAAAAGAATCAATAAAAAATAATCGTATTATGCAAAATAAATTTTGTGCGTATCCCTTTCCCGAACATTGAACATTTGGTTAATAAAACTAAACTTCTTTTCCTGTGCATAGCTGAAGAGAGACACAAAAGTATATAATAAAGCACATTTAAAAAATCGTGTTTGTGTAAGTCAATAACATTAATAAATGAACGATGAAGTATCAAAGTATCAAATTGAGAAAAACTTAACATCGAGGCTCAAAAACTCGATATGCCCCAATGAATACATTATTCTTCAATATAAACGTTTACAATGCTACTAGAAATGTTATGTACATTAAATTTTATGTACATGAAAAGAAAAAGATATATATACTATATATAGAGGGTGCACGGCATAAAACGTTCCGGAAGGAAAATATGGTCATTTTTCGAACAACCACTTAAAATTTCGAGTTATTAAATAAGATAGATGGGCTAATCAGAGCGCACGACGTGACAGGCAGGACATACGAGGGCTGCTCCGTAAGTTTTGCGACTTGGCAACACTGGCGTTGCTAGGTAAAATCTAACCTTACCATCAAAAAATTTGACAGTTTGGAAGATTTTTTTACTGGAAACGTTTTATCGTACGGAGGCTACTTGTATTGTTTACAGTGACTTGAAAATTGTGTCTCAACGAAAAAATGGAATTAACACAAGAACACTTTCGTGCGATGATTTTTCACGACTTTCGACGTGGATTATCGAGACAAGAATGCATCGATCAACTTGCTTTCACTTTTGGCAATGAAGCACCACACAAGGCCACTATTTGTCGCTGGTTTAATGAATTCAATCGTGGTCGTAGTTCGCTCACCGACGAACCTCGCGAAGGTCGTCCAAAATCAGCTGCTGTGCCAGAAAACATCGATGCTGTGCGTGAATTGATAATGCAAGATCGACATGTAACATACCGTGAGATTCAGACATCCCTGGGTGTTGGTATGAATTGCATACAAATGATATTGCATGAACATTTGGCCGTAAAAAAAATTTGTTCACGTTGGGTCCCGCATAATTTGACAATTGCTCAGAAAAAGGATCGTGTAAATTGGTGCAAAAAAATGCTGAAGAAATTCGATCGAGGTGCGTCAAATGCGGTATATAACCTCTACACAGGTGACGAGTCATGGATCTATGCATATGAGCCGGAAACTAAACAGCAGTCGACTGTGTGGGTCTTTCAAAGTGAACCTAACCCAACAAAAGTTGTTCGCGCTCGAAGCACTTCGAAACAAATGGACGCCTATTTTTTCGGAAAAACTGGTCATGTGGCAACAGTACCCTTAGAGAAACGTAGAACGGTCAATTCTGAGTGGTACACAACCATTTGTTTGCCAGAAGTCTTCGGCCAAATAAGGAAAAACAACTCAAGACGACGAATCATTCTTCACCATGACAATGCGAGCTCTCACACATCGGCTCAAACAACCGCCTATTTGACCAGTGAAAATGTCGAATTAATGGGTCATCCACCGTACAGTCCTGATTTGGCACTCAATGACTTCTTTTTGTTCCCGAACATCAAGAATAAACTGCGTGGTCAACGATTTTCGACGCCAGAAGAAGCGGTTGATGTGTATAAAACACATGTTTTGGAGGTACCACTTTTGGAGTGGCATGGATGCTATAATAAATGGTTTGAGCGAATGCAGAAGTGTATTGATCATCATGGAGAATACTTTAAAAAATAATAAAGCCATTTTCAATGACAAATTACCGTGTTTTCCTTACTAGTCGCAAAACTTACGGAGCAGCCCTCGTATGATTCGCTACGGCTAGCACAAAAAATGCCGAAAACTTGCACGCCTATCTCATAGACTCAGAGGCGATGATTGCGTCTGGATCTGGTACCCATTATTATAAGGAAACTTTTATCAGATCTTCGATTATAGTTTTTGTGTTTGAGATTTTTGATACTCAATTACTCGGAAGACGAATTGATTCCGAAATTCCAGTTAAGCTACACGATCGGGTTGTTTGGTGTGATACATACTCGGCGTTGTACCGCTACTGCGGCGCTTGATAATATATTTCGAATGTAAGTCAGCTCAGCTGTCATGCAAGGCCAAGTGCAGCTTATAAAAGAGAACGCTGAACTGTTTGCTATATCCAGTTTAAAATTCTTTCTGGAGTCGATTTCTGAATTGTGACATTCAAGATAATGAAGTTAGCTATTCTGTTGGTTGTCGGCGTTATCGCCAAACGTGAGTAAACAAAATATGTTAATCAACAATTTATAAACATTGTAATTAGGGTATGTTTGAATCACATATTGTATGAAATATTAAATGAAAGAGAAGAAATTATAGTACAGACAATTAGAAATATGCAAATTTTATCACGCATGTTTTTAAAACATATTTTCCTATAATTTCACATATTAATTCTTGTATGTGGATGTGTAAAATAATGAAAATGTAACAAAAAAGAGATACTTGCAAGGAAGAATATATAGATGTCTTTTAGCTAATATGTATGTGAGTATCTATGGAGTAAAATATCTCCAGGCAGATGAATGATTAGGAACTTAATTATTACCCTTAGAGGCATACGGGGATGAACCTGAAGCTATAGTGGGTGGCATCAAGGCAACGCTCGGGCAATTTCCACATCAAATCTCTCTTCAGAACTTCAGAAATTCGCATATTTGCGGGGGCAGTATTATTGACTCCACACATGTCCTCACCGCTGCTCACTGTGTTGCAAATATGAACCAGAATTCCTTGGTACGTAAGTAATAGTTACCACCAGAAACGTCACATTTGATTATTGAATGTTTTTCTTAGATAGATATTATAAACATGCTAATATAAGAAAGCCAGCGACATTATAGTTTTTTTCTCTAGAACTTCATATCCTTATCTTATAATTCATTTTGACTTTCCTATTTAACTCATCAAAATTATTTGTTATGCAGAAAGTTGTAACTGGTAGTATCTCTTCGCGTCCCGGCTACGGCCAAAGTCACGAGATTCAGTGTATACAGATACATCCAGGTTATACTGGTCTACAGAGGGACGGCTGGAAGGACGATATCTGTGTGATCACTGTAAGTTTAGTTCTTAATCCTCATTAAGTACGTAATGTAATAAGATGTAATGAGTGCGCAACAATATGAGATATTTCGTTTATAGCTGAAAAAACCGATTACAATGAGCAATGTCCAAAATGTAATTCCTCTAGCCAGTAGGGATTATGCTACTGGAAGTTATCGCGGTACAATTAGCGGATTTGGAAAGACTAGTCTAAATTCGGGTGTTTCGCCTGACCTTCTATTCGCCAATGTGAACATTTTGAGTAGAAAAGCCTGCACAGATGCACACCCGAAAAGCAGTTGGGGTGCATTCACCAATGAAAATCATATTTGCATTTTGGAGAAGTATGGAATAGGTGCTTGCCAAGTGAGTGTTTTACCTTATCTTATATTTGATATATTTGGAAAGGATTATGTACGCATGAATGTGTTTTCCTCAAGAAATAGAAACGAATTCAACGAGTTAGTAATGGAAAATGTACAATTTTTTAGGGTGACAGTGGCGGCCCTCTCATTTGCAATGGTCAACTTGTTGGTGTCACCTCTTGGGTCGTGGCCTGTGCTTTTGGTGTTCCTGATGTATACACTGCTGTCTATCCTTATTTGAGTTGGATTAAGGAATGTCAACAGAGATGCTGATCATTCGAATAATCACAGTCGACCGGCGATCTATATTTCAGGCATTACTTACAATTTTCAGTTATTGCAAAACGTAATATAATTCTGTATCATTCTTATAAAAGGTACAAATGATGTACGTAATCATTTCTATAAGAATGATATTAAAGTGTAATTTGTTTGAATGATCTAAAAAAATCAATAAAAAATAATCGTATTATGCAAAATAAATTTGTGTATATTCCTTTTCCCGAACATTGAACATTTGGTCAATAAAACTAAACTTCTTTTCCTGTGCATAGCTGAAGAAAGATACAAAAGTATATAATAAAACACATTTAAAAAATTGTGTTTGTGTAAGTATCAATAACATTAATAAATAAACACTGAAATATCAAAGTATCAAACTGAGAAAAACTTAACATCGAGGGTCTAAGACTCGACATGCCCCAATAAATACATAATTTTTCAATGTTAAATGTTTACAATGCTACTAATAATTTTGTATACATTATTGAAAAGAAAAAGAAATATATACTATATGTACAGGGTGCCCGGCGTAAAACATTCCAGAAAGAAAATATAGTCTAACACATTTTTCGAACAACCACTTAAAATTTCGAGTTATTAAATAAAATAAATAAAATATAATAGATGGGCTAATCAGAGCGCATGACACACGACGCGGCAGGCAGGACATACGGTTTGCTGCGGCCAGCGAAGTAAATGGCCGATTGCTCGCACGCCTATCTCATAGACTCAGAGGCGATGACTACGACTGGATTTGGTATCCATTATTAAAAAAGAGACTTTCATCAGATCTTCGATTATAGTTTTCGTGTTTGAAATTTTTGATACTCGATTACTTGGAAGATCAATTGATCCCGAAATTCCAGTTAAGCTACACGATTGAGTTGTTTTGTGTGATATGTACTCGGCGTTGCATCGTTACTGCAACGCTTGATAACATATGTCCAATGTAAGTTAACTCAGCTGTTATGCAAGGCCAAATGCAGCTTATAAAAGAAAATGCTGAACTGTTGGCTACATTCAATTTGAAATTTATTCTGGTGTTGATACTGAATTGCGACTTTTAAGATGATAAACTTAGCTATTCTGTTGGTTGTCGGCGTTATTGCCAAACGTGAGTAAACAAAATTTGTTAATCAACAATTTATAAACAGTGTAATTAGAGTATGTTTGAATTATATATTGTATGAAATATCATACGAAAGAGAAGAAATTATAGTAAGAGATAATTTAAAATATACAAATTTTATCACGCATGTATGTTTTTAAAACATACTTACCTATAATTTCATATGTTAATTCTTGTATGTGAATGTGTAAAATTATGAAAATGTAACAAAAAAGTGAAACTTGTAAGGAAAAATGAACAGATGTCTTTTAGCTAATATATGTATTTATTTACGGAGTGAAATATCTTCAGACAGATGAATGATTAGGAACTTAATTATTACCCTTAGAGGCATACGGGGATGAACCTGAAGCTATAGTGGGTGGCAGCAGAGCAATATCCGGACAATTTCCATATCAAATCTCTCTTCGGCGCAACGGTTTGCATCTTTGCGGGGGCAGTATTATAGGCCCCAAACACATCGTCACCGCCGCTCATTGTGTTGAAGATATGGAACAATCATCCTTGGTATGTAGATAACAGTTATTACTAGAAACGACTCATTCGATTATTGATGATTGTTGTTTTTCTTAGATAGATATGATCAACATGCTATTATAAGAAAGCCAACGACATTATAGTTTTTTCTCCAGAACTTCATATCCTTATTTTATAATTCATTTTGACTTCCCTATTTAACTCATTAAAATTATATGTTACGCAGACAGTTGTAACCGGTAGTATCTCTTCGCGCCCCGGTCACGGCCAAAAGCACGAGATCGAGTGTATACAGGTACATCCAGGTTATACTGGTCTACAGAGGGACGGCTGGAAAGACGATATCTGTGTGATCACTGTAAGTTAATACCTAATCTTCGTCAAGTACGTAATGTTATAAGATGTAATGAGACAACAACAATATGAGATATTTTATTTATAGCTGAAAAAACCGATTACAATGAGCAACGTCCAAAATGTAATTTCTCTAGCCAGTAGGGATTATGCTACAGGAAGTTATCGCGGTGTAATTAGTGGATTTGGAAAGACTAGTGTAAATTCGGATGTTTCGCCTGATCTTCTATACGCCAGCGTGAACATTTTGAGTAGAAAAGCCTGCACAGATGCACACCCGAAAAGAAGTTGGAATGGCGCATTCACCAATGAAAATCATATTTGCACTATGGAGCAGCATGGAATAGGTGCTTGCCAAGTGAGTGTTTTATCTTATCTTATGCTTGATATATTTGGAAAGGATTATGAACACATGCATGTGTCTTCCTCAAGAAATAAAAACAAATTCAACGAGTTACTAATGGAAATGATATAATTTTTTAGGGTGACAGTGGCGGTCCTCTTGTTATCAATGGTGAGCTCTGTGGTGTTACCTCCTGGGTCGTACCCTGCGCCATGGGATATCCTGATGTATTTACTGCTGTCTATCCTTATTTGAGTTGGATTAAGGAATGTCAACAGAGATGCTGATTATTTGAATAATCGCAGTCGACCGGCGATCTATATTCCAGGCATTACTTACAATTTTCAGTTATTGCGTGTAAAACGTAATATAATTCTGTATCATTGTTATGAAAGATACCAATGATGTCGGTAACATCATTTTCATAAGAATGATATTAAAGTGTAATCTCTTTGAATGATATAAAAGAAACAATAAAAATAACCGTATTATGCAAAATAAATTTTGTATGTATTCCTTTCCCCGAACATTGAACATTTGGTCAATAAAACTAAACTTCTTTTACCGTGCATAGCTGAAAAGGGACACAAAAATACAAAATAAAGCATATTTAAAAAATCGTGCTCGTGTAAGTATTAATAACATTAATAAATGAACGCTGAAATATCAAAGTATCAAACTGAGAAAAACTTAACATCGAGGATCAAGAACTCGGCATGCCCCAATGAATACATCATTCTTCAATATAAATGTTTGCAATGATACTAATAATTTTATGTACATTATTGAAAAGAAAAAGAAATATGTACTATATGTACAGAGTGCCCGGCATAAAACGTTCCAGAAGGAAAATATGGTCAAAGTCATTTTTCGAACAACTTAAAATTTCGAGTTATTAAATAAATTAGATGGCCTAATCAGAGCGCACGACGTGGCAGGCAGGATATATGGTTCGCTACGGCCAGTGAAAAAAATGCCGAAACCAATGTCTCACACGCCTATCTCATAGACTTAGAGGCGATGACTGCGTTTGGATCTGGTACCCATTATTATAAGGAAACTTTTATCAGATTATAGTTCGAATATAGTTTTCGTGTTTGAGATTTTTTATACTCGATTACTCGGAAAACTATTTGATTCCGAAATTCCAGTTAAGCTACACGATCGGGTTGATTTGTGTGATACATACTCCGCGTTGCACCGCTACTGCGGCGCATGAAAATATATCTCCAACGTAAGTCAGCTCAGCTGTCATGCAAGGCCAAGTGCAGCTTATAAAAGAGAATGCTGAACTGTTGGCTATATCCAGTTTAAAATTCTTTCTGGAGTCGATTCCTGAATTGCGACATTCAAGATAATGAAGTTAGCTATTCTGTTGGTTGTCGGCGTTATCGCCAAACGTGAGTAAACAAAATTTGTTAATCAACAATTTATAAACAGTGTAATTAGCGTATGTTTGAATCACATATTGTATGAAATATTAAAAAAAGAAGAAATTATAGTAAGAGATAATTTGAAATATGCTAATTCTATCACGCATGTTTTTAAAACATATTTTCCTATAATTTAATATATTAATTCTTGTATGTGGATGTGTAAAATAATGAAAATGTAACAAAATAGAGATACTTGCAAGGAAGGATATATAGATGTCTTTTAGTTAATATGTATGTGAGTATACATGAAGTAAAATATCTCCAGACAGATGAATGATTAGGAACTTAATTATTACCTTTAGAGGCATACGGGGATGAACCTGAAGCTATAGTGGGTGGCAGCAGGGCAATACCTGGACAATTTCCATATCAAATCTCTCTTCAGTACTGGGATTTGCATATTTGCGGGGGCAGTATTATTGGCCCCAAACATATCATCACCGCCGCTCATTGTGTTGAAGATTTGAATCAGAAATACATGGTATGTAGATGACAGTTACTACCAGAAACGACTCATTCGATTATTGAATGTTTTTCTTAGATAGATATTATAAATATGCTAGTAAAAGAAAGCTAGCGACATTATAGTTTTTTTCTCCAGAACTTCATATCCTTATCTTCTAATTCATTTTGACTTTCTTATTTAACTCAACAAAATTATTCGTTACGCAGACAGTTGTAACCGGTAGTACCCGTAGCTCCGGCGACGGGCAAAGTCACGAGATTGAGTGTATACAAGTACATCCAGGTTATACTGGTCAACGGCGTGACGGCTGGAAGGACGATATCTGTTTAATCACTGTAAGTTTAGTTCCTAATCTTTGTTAAGTGCGTAATGTAATAAGATGTAATGAGTGCGCAACAATATGAGATATTTTCTTTATAGCTGAAAAAACCGATTGTAATGAGCAAAGTCCAAGATATAATTCCTCTAGCCAGTAAGGATTATGCTACTGGAGATAATGTCGGTACAATAAGCGGATTTGGAAAGACTAGTGTAGATTCGGATGTTTCGGCTGACCTTCTATACGCCAGTGTGAACATTTTGAGTTCGAAAGCCTGTTTAGATGTATACCCGAAAAACAGTGGGGGTAACGCATTCACTAATGAAAATCATATTTGCACTTTGGCGAAGCGTGGAATAGGTGCTTGCCAAGTGAGTGTTTTACCTTATCTTATGCTTGATATATTTGGAAAGGATTATGTAGACATGAATGTGTCATACTCAAGAAATAGAAACGATTCCAACGAGTTACTATTGGAAAATGTACATTTTTTAGGGCGACAGCGGCGGTCCTCTCATAAGCAATGGTCAACTTGTTGGTGTCACCTCTTGGGTCAGGCCCTGTGCTTTAGGTGTTCCTGATGTATTCACTGGTGTCTATGCTTATTTGAGTTGGATTAAGGAATGTCAACAGAGGTGCTAATTATTCGAATAACCACAGTCGACTGGCGATCTATATTCCAGGCATTACTTACAATTTTCAGTTCCTGCGTGTAAAACGTAATATAATTTTATGTCATTCTTATGAAAGATACCAATGATGTCGGCAACATCATTTCCATAAGAATGATATAAAAATATAATCTCCTTGAATGATATAAAAGAAACAACCGTATTATGCAAAATAAATTTTGTGCGTATTCCTTTTCCCGAACATTGAACATTTGGTCAATAAAATTAAACTTCTTTTACCGTGCATAGCTCAAGAGAGACACAAAAATACAAAATAAAGCATATTTAAAAAATCGTGTAAGTATCAATAACATTAATAAATGAACGCTGAAATATCAAAGTATCAAACTTAGAAAAACTTAACATTGAGGATCAAAAACTCGGCATGCCCCAACGAATACATCATTCTTCAATATAAATGTTTACAATGCTACTAATAATTTTATGTACATTATTGAAAAGACAAAGAAATATATACTATATATACAGGGTACCCGGCATAAAACATTCCACAAGGAAAATATGGTCGAAGTCATTTTTCGAACAACCACTTAAAATTACGAGTTATTAAATAAAATAGAAGGGCTAATCAGAACGCACCACGTGGCAGGCAGGACACACGGTTCGCTGCGACCAGCAAAGAAAATGCCGAAAGCTCGCACGCTTATCTCATAGATTCAGAGGCAATGACTGGGTCTGAATCTGGTACCTATTATTATAAGGAAACTTTCATCAGATCTTCAACTACAGATTTCGTATTTGAGATTTTTGATACTCGATTGCTCGGAAGACCAATTGATCCCGAAATTCCAGTTAAGCTACACGATCGGGTTGTTTTATATGATACATACTAGGCGTTGCACCGCCACTGCGGCGTATGATACTATATCTCCAACGTAAGTCAACTCAGCTGTCATGCAAGGCCAAGTGCAGCTTATAAAAGAGAATGCTGAAGTGTTGGGTATATGCAGTATGAAATTCATTCTAGAGTCGATTTTTGAATTGCGACATTCAAGATGATAAAATTAATTATTCTATTGGTTGTCTGCGTTATCGCCAAACGTGAGTAAACAAAATTTGTTAATCAACAATTTATAAACAGTGTAATTAGGGTATGTTTGAATCACATATTGTATGAAATATTAAATGAAAGAGAAGAAAGTATTGTAAGAAATAATTTGAAATATGCAAATTTTATCACGCATGTATGTTTTTAAAACATACTTACCTATAATTTCATATGTTAATTCTTGTATGTGAATGTGTAAAATTATGAAAATGTAACAAAAAAGTGAAACTTGTAAGGAAGAATGAACAGATGTCTTTTAGCTAATATGTATGTATTTATTTACGGAGTGAAATATCTCCAAATAGATAAACGATTAGAAACTTAAATATTACCCTCAGAGGCGTACGGAGATGAGCCTGAAGCTATAGTGGGTGGCAGCATGGCATCACCTGGACAATTTCCACATCAAATCTCTCTTCAGTACGGGGGTTCTCATATGTGCGGGGGCAGTATTATTGGCACCAGACATGTCCTCAGTGCTGCTCACTGTGTTGAAAATATGAATAAGGACCAGATGGTACGTAGGTAACAGTTACCACTAGAAACGACTTATTCGATTATTGAATGTTTTTCTTAGATAGATATTATAGATATAAAAATATAAAAAAACTAGAGACATGATAGTTTTTCTCTGCAGGACTTCATATCTTTATCTTCTAATTCATTTTGATCTTCCTATTTAACTCGTCAAAATTATTTGTTACGCAGAAAGTTATGACTGGCAGTATCTCTTCGCGCAGAGGCTCCGGTCAAACTTATGATATCCAGTGTATTCAAATACATCCAGGTTACACTGGGAAATCGGCTGACGGCTGGAAGGACGATATATGTTTGATCACTGTAAGCTTAGTCCCTAATTCTCATTAAATACGCAATGTAATAAGATATAATGCGTACGCAACAATTTGCAATATTTTGTTTATAGCTGACAAGACCGATTACACTAAGCAACGTCCAAAATGTAATTCCTCTAGCCACTAGGGATTATGCTACTGGGAGTTATCGCGGTATAATTAGCGGATTTGGATGGACTAGCCCAAATTCGGGTGTTTCGCCTAACCTTCTATTCACCTCAGTGAATACTCTGAGTAGGCAAACATGCTTAAATGCACACCCGAAAAGAGAGAATAACGCATTCACCAATGCAAACAATATTTGTACCTTCGAAGCTTATGGAAAAGGTGCTTGCTATGTGAGTGTTTTACCTTATTATACTTGATGTATTTGGAAAGGATGTACACATGCAGATATCTTCCTCGGGAACTAGAAATGAATTCAATGAGTCCCTAATGGAAAATGTACTATCTTTTAGGGTGACAGTGGCGGTCCTCTTGTTATCAATGGTGAGCTCTGTGGTGTTGCTTCTTGGGTCGTCCCATGCGCCCTGGGTGCGCCTGATGTATTCACTGCTGTTTTCCCATATCGGAGCTGGATTAGTCAATCTCAACAGAGGTGCTGATCGTTCGAATAACCATAGTCGACCGGCGATCTATATTCCAGGCATTACTTACAGTTCTCAGTTACCGCGTGTAAAACATGTCGTTGAAATAATTGGTATTTTTCGTCAGAATGATATAAAAATGTAAAAGAAACAATAAAAATTAATCATATTATGCAAAATAAATTTTGTGCAAAATAAATTTTATTCCTTTTCCCGAACATTGAACATTGGTCAATAAAATTAAACTTGTTTTCACGTGCATAACTAGAAAGGGACACATAAGTATATAATAAAGCACATTCAAGAAATCGTACTTTCTGGTGGTTAAGTTTATTCGATCACAAAACTTCTCATCAGGAGCTTCGTTTAAGACTGTTTTATAAAGGGAAATATTTTACTCGAACGGGGAATTGATGTCCAGGTTTTACAGTTAATAACTGTTTTTTATTTACACACAAAATATCCAAGGAATCGATCTCGCAATTACTCAACAATTCTTAGAACTCAGATGCTCCTTTTTGTCAGTTTGCAACGTACAGTGGCATTGTAGGCATTGTACAGATTGTATGTAACTTATAGTCTCTAGCCTATAAGATTACGAATGCTCGAGATTCCGCTACTTAAACTTGCCATATGTCGGTATCTTGACTCCAAATCAACACCTTCTTCGGCAGAAAAGACCGGGGACGAATCTCCCTGTGGAGTCACTTCCGGACACCACTAAAATCCTCCGAAAATCCTCCTTTGACATGTCGTCGAGTTGATTGACAGCAACATCGGCGAATCGTATTTCGTTCCTCTCGCAGTTTTCCCGTTTTATCATGAGTAGCCATGCCGTTCTGGGCGCGGAAAGAAAGAATACTTCCTGTCGTGGCTGTGTCGGTTATGACGGTTCTCGACGTCTTGGAAGAGGCTCGGGACAGTGATGCGAATGAAAAGGCGTGATGGTTTTGGTATAAAATGAACTCATTTACTCGTATTCCAAATGTTACAATTATTCGATTCGATTACAAAGGTTTTCCAGTGATTGTCCGCGGCTGCCTCGGAAAGAGATTTTGCGTTCGGTCTATATAAATTCATAATCTATATTCGTCTTCGTTTTCACTAAAGTAATACGCGAGTAAATTTCGTTGTACGTTCTCCTTTATATGGAGAGTCGCGTATTCCACCATTTAAATCGGCTCTACTGTTTTCAGTGTATATAACCGCCTTGTGACTCGTAATACCGGTTCCCTATTCCATGTAGTCCTACGTTTAGGATCTTTATGGTTGATGTTTCCTTCCAACTTTCAATTTCTGTTAGTCGCACGCGATCGCAGGTATATAACAATGTTTTCCGGACTTATAGTATATAGTTGCGAGACGCATGATGTATTCCGATGCGTTCGCAGTTTCGCTGCACGATCCGGTGTAGGTCGCTGCCTGATGTTGAGGTTGAATCAGCTGGGATGTTACTGCCTTCTGTAGTTTGCTCCGTTGTACGTTGCTTGGGGCAGGTCAGCTCGGCAAGCTGATGCGACGCAGGCTTCGGTTTTGCTGATAGCAGGTTTTGGCGGTCGTAGCTCCGACGGCCATCTTCGAGTTCACTAAAGCGTTGTCTTTCTCCGGTCCCACAATTTCCTCGTTGTTTACGTGATTTTCGAGTGTGTTTCGTGTGCGCCTCAAAATTCTTTGTGATTCTCTAATTTAGCTTTTCACTAGTTTGTCGCTTTTTGGCTTTCTTCCGTTATGGACGTCGAAGATGGAGAAGTATCAATCGATAATCGATTGAGGATCCCACCGCTGTCACCAGTTTTGTCGTGGCCGTTTCGGTTCTCGACGTCTTGGAAGAAGCTCGGGACAGAGATCCGAATGAAATGTTGTGGCTTTGGTATAAAATAAACTGATTTATCCGTATTCCGAATGTTACAATTATTTGGTTCGATTACAAAGGTTTTTCCAGTGATTATGTTCCAGTATCCGCGACTGTCATTGCACCAATCGAGTTTTGCGACCTCTGTTCGAGGTGTTGGTTCTTTCTTATTTATATACGAGATTTCAGCAGGGCTAACGTATGCGAGGTTGCAACAAAGTTGCACCTTACGCGTAAACTTGGTTACGCCGTTTTCTACACGGCGTTTTTTAATGTAGAAATTGACTTTAAGTCATTGGGTCACTAAATTTGAGTATGCAGTATCGTTTGCGCAAGGAAATTACATTGTATGGAGGATTATGTACATTATTTTTATCTATCTATTAATTTATTGCGGCGGGTTCTGGTTTTCGGTGGGCGTGCTGGCGAGTGCGAATTTCGTGGATGTTTGTATATTTGTGCAATTTAGTGTTCGTACATATAAGCGTAAGGAATATGAGTGTCGCGATTAGATTAAGTTAAAGCGGATGAACATGCGTGAGCCTCGCAAGCGGCGGAGTATACATTTATTTATTAATCAGAATCACGCAAGTCGACTCTGTAATAATATATAAACATTCATATTGCGATATAAGTTCCGGCAAGGCGAATTGATTGAGACGGTCTGCTAGTCGTCTCAATTGCATTTGGCTTGCCCACACACCGAAATAGTTTTTCTCCTTGTGTTTGCTTGGCCCACTCAGGGGGGGAGCTAGTGTCCCCTGAAACAAAAATCTATATTAAATCAGGGCACAATATTCTATTATAATAATTTATAATAATTTATAATAATTTATAATAATTTATAATAATTGACAATAACTTATAATAATTTATAATTTATTATAATAATTTGTATTTTATTACCGGGGGTTTTGTCTCCCAGATCATTTACTGAAGATTTTTTCCGATTCAGATCAGTCACACGTACGCATGCACACAAGCAATGCGCGTTTTCAGATTGCGTTTGTAATATATAGGCTGCAATAAGTAGCATGTATCTATAATGATTGTGATCAATTCATAAATTTACGCTAGAGGAAAAATTCATGATCAACCATTAAATGTACATATCAAGCTGTATTTGCAATTTCACCTACATTTTCCGATAGGTTTACAAATTTAAAGTTTTACAAATTTAAATTTATCAGTCTGCGCTTGTGACGTCCGCGATCCGCATTGCAAACACGTAATCTGGATTTGTAATTAATTGACGAGACAGAAAAGATTTTCGTAGGTGAAATATTATCAAGATTTTCGTATAGACTGCACCAATCAGAATGTACGCATATTACGTGCGCAAACATTAAATCGATCCTGTATCTTTTCGACTAGCGTAAACTTGTAAATAAAATAAAACACTTTTATAGATAAATTCAATAAAGTTCAATGATTATTACTGCGCTCCGATATTCACTCTACTGTAGATCTATAGTTTGTATCATATACTTATAGAATTTTAGAACTGACAGTGAATATTGAAATGCAATTGCGAGTCTGCGAGTTCACATTATAGGAAAAGATACATCATTACATGAAAAAAATTTTATAGTAAAATATGTTATAAATATAGAGATCCAGTCAAATCATGTTCTATTACTTCAATTGCCAGTAAAGTTGGAAAAATAATATATTTGACAAGAATTAATGGAATACAATTTTACAAGATGGAAAATTAGTGAAAAAGTATGAAATCATTGTGGAGACAACTTAGTATTAAAAATTGAAATAATAATAATAATAATAACAACTTAGTATTAATAATTAAAAAAATAATAATAATAATAACAAAAATATCTTTATTTTAAAATTATAGTTATTTAAAACTGCTAATAACAAAACGTTTAAAATCACAAATTTAAAAATTAAAGGTGTATCTACGTCAAAGATACATATAAGCACAGATATATATAAAATTATTAATGCAATTTTCAACAATAATAAAAATATAATTAATGGACATTATACAAACGTTGTGCGCAGTAAGCACACAAAATGAATTTTAATTAATGATTCCATAATAAAAAAATGCAGTTGGCCACAGAATTCTAAAGATGCATATATTTTCTTTACTGCGAAATTAATGTAATAAAATTTGTACCTAAATAATCTATACAAAAGGCAATGAGATCGTAACAAACAGTCCTTACAAAAGATAGAAAAATGCTGAGTATCAAAAATTGCGAAATAAATGTTAACTTAAATAAAATGTAGATGTTTTAAATTAATTATATTCTAAAAAAAAAATCAAATCAATATAATTAACCAAGTACATATATTAATACTTATTATACAAGTAATTATGTGATAAGTTTCAATAACATTAATAAATGAACGCTGAAATATCCAAGTATCAAATTGAGAAAAATTTAACATCGAGGATCAAAAACTCGGCATGCCTTAATGAATACATCCTTCTTCAAAATAGATGTTTATAATGCTATTAATAATTTTATGTACATTATTGAAAAAAAAATATATAAATATATTATCGCTATCGGGAATCTATAATAATGTTAAACATTATAAGAAAACTTTCATTAGATTTTCGATTATAGTTTCCATGCTTGAGATTTTTGATGCTCGATGACTCGGAAGACCAATTGATCCCGAAATTCCAGAAAAGCTACACGATCAGGTCGTTTTGTATGATACTCGGCGTTGCGCCGCGACTGTGACGCATGATAATATATCTTCAATGTACGTCAGTTCAGCTGTCATGCAAGGCCAAGTATCGCCTATAAAAAGGAACGCTGAACAGTCCTACATCCAGATTGAAATTTACTGTGGTGTCAATTCTGAATTGCGACGTTTAAGATGATAAAATTAGCTATTCTGTTAGTTGTCGGCGTTATTGCCAAACGTGAGTAAACAAAATTTGTTAATCAACAATTTATAAACAGTGTAATTAGCGTATGTTTGAATCACATATTGTATA